TAAAATATAGCATTCCAGGTTTTCGTGCTGAGCGAAAATTAGACAAGGAGGTAATGCCAGCTTGGCGGAAAAAATGGATGGCACTCCAACTCAATCAAATAACAGAAAAGTGTAGACCCCGTGTCACATAACTCAATAAACGCACATGGCAATCTAAATATGCCAGAAGCACGTGGTGATCTATTTATTTTTGGGTTGACACTATTTTGACATCGGGGTTAAATACAGGCAACATTTTCACAACGGCGATGTTAAATTTGACAACGGCGGTGCGCCACTGTGCCTCTTATGTATAAGAAACCCTGGATTCCGTACAGACGGACGACTGTCTGCTGGCACGCACTCGTTCCCTCCGAAACACGAGTATTCGAAGAAAGACGAGAAAACACGAGTATGCGCAAGAGATAGGAAAAACACGAGAAAACACTAGTATACGAAGAAATACGAGAAAACACGAGAAAACACTAGTATACGAAGAAATACGAGAAAACACGAGTATACAAAGAAATATTAAAAAACACGAGAAAACACGGGTATATGCGAAAATACGGAATCCCCTTCGTCGTGCTAGCTGCTAATATTCAGTGTAGATGCTAGCCTTCCACTGACGCATAATCGATGGTAAATAAAGGCAATCCCATCGAACTCTGGACCGAGCAATCTCTCATTAACGCAGATGGACGTTGCGTTACTGTGCATTGCCTGGAGCATTAATCAGCACCTGCCAAAAACTCTTGATTACTCACGCTGTGCCACATGTGGAAAGGCTTTGTCTACTCAATCCATTGTCCCTCACAGGAACTGCCTCCAGATAAAATGGGAATCGCATTTAGGTAGCACGCCGCAGCACGACTGCACGGCGTTAAAGCTCTGAAGGGACCCAGGGTGCTTTCATCATCACCCATTTACGCAACGCTGGGCATATTCTGTTCGGTGCGCTCAGGAGAGCATAGCGCGGCCATGCCTGCTTCTGAATGCTGCTGCTTATACACACTGTCATACATGAAATTGTCACGACTCTTTGCTCTGCAAACGTGCGCATTAATTCGTCGCATTTGCTGAAGACCGCAGATGGTTGCAGTCACGAGAGTAGACCCATTAGCACACGTCAACGTGTAAAGAGAAACTTGGGCTAGTACGCAATACACCCTGAAAGCAGGGGAACAAAGAGACGAGGACAGCAATAGTTAGTTCTGCATACATACATGCATTAATATACACTAACGGCAAACCTCGCAGCATGATAAATAAATATATATATATTATATCAGGGCAGGCACGCATGCACACACGCACACATATACACACAGGTACATATACCTATACATCTATCTCATTGGAGTCTTTGCTTCACAAACCTTAAGCTCCCGTTTTAACCGCTCGACATTCTTGATGTTGATGAGGTCGTCGAGTCCAACCAGCAGTACCATGGCGTCAAAGACGGCTGCCAGTAGATGGCGCAAGCAGGCATCAGACCCGCCGTCGTCCCGAGTCACCAGGATCAACGTGATGCTGAGGCGGCAACGTAATTATAAGCCTCATGAACACACGACTGAGGCGAGAGTGTTGGGGACGATGCTATCCGAGGGTTGTAATATCAAGGTTACACATAGCCTCTAGTTACATTTAGTAACTGTGACTGGAGTTGCTTGCGTTAAAATTTGAATTTGAATAAAGCGATCGATAAATTCCGTTAGAGAGTAAGCTCATTCATTGGGTCGATAATAAATAATAATAATAATAATAAATAATAGTGATTTAATACTTTACAGTCTGGTTATTGAACCATAAATATCTTTTAATGACTTCAAGCTAGATTAACACGGCACTGTAAACTGCAACCATGCCGCATTCGTCGCTCTCAGAAGTTACTCGTTTTGTCTAGCAATACGATATATACTGTGTCTCTTGAGACAATCGCTATAGTGACTAATGGCAGAAACGGAGGCAATGATTCAAGATGAAACAACTCGTTAGAAGAGCAGTGTCGATTATGTACAGTGCGTAATTTGGTCGTACCTCCCGTGGCATACTTTCCACGCGATTTTGGCGTCTTTTGTTTGCGTGGCGAGAAGCTCGATGTTGTGAGTGCTGGCAAACATGTGAACGCCGTTTAGCGTGCCAATCACCGCAAACGGCAACTAAAAACACGAATGTTCGATTATCAGAAAAGTTTGCACTCTCAAGTTCAACCGAGTGTTGCTAGCATAATTATAAGAACTACTGTTCATCAAGTGTTAAAACAATTATATGCTTAAAAGTAATTACTAACCATCGGATAACACTGTATTAGGCCCAGTTACTACCTAATCATGATTGACACCATTCACTACAACCTTCAATAGTCTTTACCAAAACATGGCTGTGAAGTGAAGTACTACTACTACTAGTACTAGTACTGTAGCTGAGAGGGTCTATGTCCCCCGGAGTACTGCCGGAACGTACCCTGGGTACGGTCCGGTATACCGGAACGTACCCTGGTACTATCTAATATGCCAAACCGTACCTCGCCTACTCCACTAACGAATCTAGGAAGTCGCCTACACCTACTCCCTAATTCGAACCCTAATCCTAACCCTAACCATATCAAATAGTGACCAGGGTACGTTCAGGTATACCGGACCGTACCCAGGGTACGTTCCGGCAGTACCCTGGGGTACATAGGCCCTATGTCTATGACTCATGAGCAGTACTGTACTAGTACTAGTAGTAGTAGTAGTACTAGTGCTAGTGTTACTGTTTACTTGCACTTTAAACAACAGCGTGTCATTTGCGTAACTGAATGCTTACTTTAATTTACGATTAATACCTTTCATTATACTTGACAGGCTATTTCCTAGGAAGTACTAAACAAACGTATGACGCATGAGCCTATGCTATGCCTACGAACGATGAATTATAAAGTTGACTGGACTGGAGAGTTTAGTACAGGTTGTATACGATTCATAGATATTTGACCCCCTTATTGTTCAATAACAACTAGTATGAGCAATAAACCGGTGTCAGTATCACGTATTCATGTTCATACTTAACTAACAAAACAACTTACTGTTTTTATTTCACCCTTCGTCCTGGAAAACAACGGTACTCCTCCTCCGGTTGTTAAACATAGTAAATACGCGGCCATGTTACATTTTGACTGCTGTCCTCATGTGGCGCCATCGTTTGTTGTAAATAGTCAACTACCAAATTTCAATTCAAAACACCTGACTACGTTCACACATGTGACATGAGGCTATATGCTGTCTATGTTAATGGATTAGTAATGCTACACATAAACATAACAAACCCATTTTAGACACATTTAATTGGCATTTCTTGCGTTAATTAAAATTTTCGCTATTTACACTTTGCGTGCAATGAGTGAAATGTTAACATAACGGCTGCTGCTGCTTACACATGTCTCCCATCAATATGTCTCATATCCTACCCATTAGTGATTAATTTCCTGAAATCTGTGTGCGGTAGCTGACAATCAGTAAGAATATCCAAGCGTGTCTGTGTATAAATAGCCTACAGACATACATAACTGGTTCATCCACTCTCTGGCCTACATTTTCACTAGCCATTATGGCCTATAATGTTTACGATAAATTTTTTCTTTCCTATTTGAATCTCTAAATTCGAAAACAGATATCTCACGCTCTCCCGCTTCATCTCAGTGTCTCTCGATCACCATTTCTCTCTCCAACTTTATCAGTATCACTCTTTCCCTCCCCTCTCATTCCCCGACTCTCTCACTCCCGCTTTCTATATACCTGTATACATCCCCCATATATAATATGGGGGTCCCAGGCCGTACCAGGGGGGTTATTGGTTCTGTAACCCCCTCTTGGTTGATAATAAAATAACAAAAGTTACTAGTTTAAACTCTAGTAACATGTTTGACCTACAGTTTGTCTTACTCTGGTCCTTACTCGTTACTTGGCGATCCTATACAAAAATGTATTGTGATATCTAAGTGGGTATAACACAGGCCGTAGTCAGGGGGGGTTGGGGGTGTTCGAACGAAACCCTCCCCCCCACCCGAGCCCCCCCGATAGCAAAAACTTTTTTGGTGGCGAAATTGCTGAATTCACTCAGGTCGGCTCCATTTTATGTTAATAATTGCAAAATCCTCCATCGCTGCGGGAGGGTGTGAACAGTCGAACACCCTCCCTCCCTCCTCCCCCGCTCTCGTCGCTTGGCCCCTCGCCTGGTCGCTTCGCCGCACCGAGCAAGGGCATGTACAGGGTTGGTGGCGGTCCAGGGGAGTCCGGACCCCGCCCCTGCTCGCGCAAGAAAACGCATCTGACGGGGGTCTAATTTAAAAATTTTTCTGGGGAGGGCCCCCCACACTTCGCGTGCTCGCAACTTGGTGTACGTTTTGACCGCCCCCCCCCCTGGTACAATCCTGTACACGCCCCCTGCCACCCATGCGAGCAAATTGCAACATTGAAAACGACCCGCGCCCCCCAATATAAAGCTTGGCTACTGCGGGCCTGTAAACAGGTGTCAACTAGTTGCAAATTTAATGGGTAAAAGTTAACTTTTTGTGTAACCATTAAAATGTACTTATAACTTTTTTTAAGATATAGACTCATTGATGGTTTGTAAAACTACTGAAACACTCTACTACTGAAGTTTCTTAAGCTTTAACACTATAATTTCAGAGTCCATCAGTATCGATCCTAGTTCTAGATTGGATGGATCACACCACAGGAGATTAATAGTCATCAAATCCCACACCAGATGACGAGTTTTTGTTACAACATCTGCATTTTATTTTATTGATTTTAATATTGTTATGGTGATTATACACTGTTTTTTGTATATAATTCAACAAACAATTGAAGTGAACTAGATGCCGAGGAAATAACATTAAGGCATTGTTAAAAAACCCAAAAAAATTGGGCCGGAACTCTCCCCCCAGCTCAACCGCTTCGCCGGCTCGGGCGCGAAGCTTCGCATCGGCCATTTGTAACCCCCCTTGCAAACCATCTGGATACGCGCCCTGGGGGAGGTATACTCATATATGATATATATAGTATATACACATACATACATACAATATACATACATACCATACATACCATCATACATACATACATACATACATACACATACATCACATACATGCTAATGCATGATGCATGCATGCATTCATGGCATCGTACGTACGTAACGTACCGTACGTACAATACATACGTACATACATAGCATACTATACATAACATACTACTGACATTACATACATACATACTACATACATACATACATACAGACATACATCTACATACATACATACATACATACATACATACATACATACATACATACATACATACATACATATCATAAACATACATATCATACATACATACATACATACATACATACATAAACATACATACATACCATACATACATACATAACTACATACATACATACATACATACATACAACTACATACATACATACATACATACATAACATAATACAATACATTAATACAAGCTACATACATACAACTACAAAATATACATACATACATACAATACATACTACATTAACATACTACATACATACATACATACATATAACATACATACATAATACATAACATACATGCCTACATAATAACATACATCATAATACATAGCCATACATACATACTACTACAATACATAACATACATACATACATATACAAATACATAAGACATACATTACACTACATATACTAATACATACATACACTACATACATCACATACATACATACATACATTACAATACATTACATACATACATTACATACATACTAATTATACACTATCAAGCATACATACAATACATTACATACAAACATACTAGCATACTACATACATACATACATACATTACCAAATTACATACAATTACATACTATACATACATACTACATACATTACATACATACATACCAACATACATAACATACATAACATACATACATACCATACATACATACATACATACAATACATACAACATACATACGATACATACATACATACTTATACATACATACATTAACATACACACATTACACACACACACACACCACACACACACACACACATACATACATACATACATTACAGTACCATACATACATTACATACATACATACATACATACATACATAGGTATATGGGGAAGATATATATATGTGTCTGTGGTAGCCCCTTAATTCGCTTAATTTGAAGTTGAACTGTACTTCCTGTAGCGGGAGCGAACGGGCTACACCATAGAGCTAGGACCAAGAGCTTATCATACCTGTGTATATAATTATAGAGATATTATAAGCTCTTGCTAGAACGTACATTGCCGATCGATTCACTTGCATGGTTTCTGCGCGGGCGCGCGCGTGTCGTCCAACTCTACAAGCCCGCAGCGCATGATGATTAGCATTCGTGCATTTACCAGCGCGAGCTCATGATTGGTCAATTACGCACACCGGAGTCTGCGTGCATGCACGCACGCGCGCACTCTGCAGGCTGTCGCCACACAGAAGCACAGTCGCTCAACAACACGCTGCGAGAGAATATGATGACAACTACGTGCATCAGTAGCAACATCAGCATCAGCATCAGCAGCAGCAGCAGCAGGAGGATAGCCTAGCACGCGGGATGGAGAGATAGGAGTGATAATTTGTCGTGAGCCGCAGCTGGCGTATCTCGATGCTGGTGAGAGCGCTGCCTATAGCTAGACAGAGCACAACTGTACAGGCGAGAGAGATATACTACTTGTATACGATATATACGATATAGATCTACTCTATGAGAGAGAGATAGAGAGAGAGAGAGCACACGCATGCAGGTACGTCTCCTGCTGTTCCCTTATACGCGGCGGATTCACTATAAGTGATGTACGGTTAATGTACGGTTAATGTACGGTTAATGTACGGTTAATGTACGGTTAATATACGGTTAATGTAAGGTTAATGTACGGTTAATATACGGTTAATGTACGGTTAATGTACGGTTAATGTACGGTTAATGTACGGTTAATGTACGGTTAATGTACGGTTAATGTACGGTTAATGTACGGTTAATGTACGGTTAATGTACGGTTAATGCACGTACAGTGTGCATGTACGTCCGTAGATGCACGTCCCTTCTCTTTCTCCAGTGGTCGTTATATATGCAGGTACGGCTGACTGTAATTGCTGTGAACCTATGTTGCGCGGGAGCGAATAGATGTACCCGCGTCGTCTGCTTCTAATACCCGTCGAATCTAAAACTGCTTGCATCTGAAAATTGCCAATTTCGAATCTTGGACTTTTCGCTGAATTCATTGTCATTCGTATTCCTTTCGTAATTGAAAGTGATATTTTATCAGACTATTCGGCGTCGTGCAGGCAAACGTTCAATTACTAGTTGCCGTTTAGTTTAGTCTGTTTTGCAGTATTGACTTAAATGATTTCAACGAAAAAGACCACGTACGCAATTGCTATATATATATATCTTCCTCCCTCTCCGAATCACTGTTTATCTCGCCCACTCCGTTTCTCATATTCCCTCTCCCCCCCCCTCTCTCTCTCTCTCTCTCTCTCTCTCTCTCTCTCTCTCTCTACCGCTTTAGTTTTCTCTTATATTTTCTCTGATCTGATGTGAGTGATCTCGGCTTTTGTAACAAAACGCCACGCACGTTGAATCTAGTGCGCGCGCGTGTGTTTACATGGTTCGGTGAAGCCTTGCAGGCGTTGCTCTCGCAATCGATAAAACGATACATGCTGACAGAGAAGGCAGCGGAGACTAGCGGTTAACCCATTCCACGTTCGACAAGCGAGAGTCACTCACACTCACGCACGCACGCACACGCGCACGTGCACAAGTGCGCACGCACGCCCACCGATACACATGTCTGCACGCAACACGAAAATGGCACGCACGCAATTATTTTAGAAACACGAAAACATCTATATCTGTGTATACGTACAAATATCACAACATGTTTGCGCACGCAGAGAAGCAATGCTGTGATTGTGTGCACGGTCTACTGATCAATATACTGATGCTATAATTATATATGCAGCAGACAAAGGCGTAATCTCTTCATAACATGTGTGTGTTCATGCATGCGCTAGTCACACACATAATGAGTAAAGGATATAAAAACCGATAAT